TTTTTTGTTTGTCTTTTTGAGACAGGGTCTCCCTGTAGCCCCAGCTGTCCCGGAACTCACTATGTAAACCAGGCTGGCCTTGAACTCACAGAGATCTGCCTGCCTCTGCCTCCCAAGTGCTGGGATTAAAGTTTTAAAGGACACTCAAATTGCCTGTAATAATTCCAGTGACTAAATTAAATTTTCTAAGTCTAAAATCTTACCTCTTCAATATTCTCTATCTTAAGATGAGCTTCCCCTTCATCTTTGGTGAGAAGAATGCAGTTCCAGGGAGACCACTCCACAGACTTATCCCACCTGACCATTACCAGGTCATTGAGATCATCCCAGGCACTAAGGATGGACTGGGATGCCCAGATGTTCTCTGTCAAATACTGAATATCTTGAAGCTGCATGTAAAAATAAGTATAAATAATAATTTGTTTTTATTCTAAATAAATGGTGTAAATATAATTATATTGAGAAATGAATCATATCTAACACTTTTTAAAGGCAAATATTATTCATAAGGCTTCACTGGCACATAGCCTTTACTTTTTAAAATACAATCTTGGGGACTGGAGATATGGTTCAGTGGATAAGAGCATTGGGTGCTCTTCCAGAAGACCTGGGTTTAATTCCCACCTTCCACACGGTGCCTAACAACCATCCGTAACTCCAATTCCATGGGATCTGAAGCCCTCTTCTGACTTCCACAGGCATTGCACAACATGGGTACACTAACATTACATGCGGGCAGTACACTCATACACATAAAAAATAAAATAGGGAGAGCACTGACTGCTCTTGCAGAGGACCTGGGTTCAATTCCCAACACCCACATGGCGGCTACGAACCATCTTCAACTCCAGTTTTAGGGGAATCCGAAGCCTTCTTCTGACCTCCGTGGCATTGCACCACACGGGTGCACTCACATACATGCAGGCAATACACTTATACACATAAAATAAAAACAAAAAATAAAATATTAAAATATAATAAAATAAATATTTTAAAATTCAATCCTATATTCAGTCTGCCTATACTACATTATTGGTCTCAAGCCACTGACCCATTTTTAACCCTGAGTCACCTGTATATATTTCTTCCAACATACTAATTTTATAGTTATATAACCTTAATCTACCTTAATAAATATATGGTACTAAGTGCTTTTTAAAAATGTGTTAGTAATTATCATATCCTTGGGTCTTCTAAAGGGTTTTTACAAATGAGGAAGGTAAAGATGAAATAATTTAGAGTAAAATTTTGCTTTAGTGAGAAAACAGAAAAATGAAGAAATTAAAACAAAAAATAATTGTATTAACTAAAACTCTTAGAATGACTTTTATTTTATTAGTTATTTGAGAATTTCATACAATATAGTTTGATCATATTCACTCCCCTTCATCAGTTTCTCGCAGATCCACCCCCTTCCCTACCCATCCAACTTTGCGTCTTCATTTTTTTCAGTTTTTTTGTTAATTATTTATTTAATTGCCACATACTTAGAAGAAGAATTTCATTACAACAGCATTGATATATTCAATAACAATTTTCTGAGCTAAGATGCATCTTTTTTCAGAATTGGCTATAAATTTTTAGGTTTACAGTTGAATTATTACAGTTATACAATATTGTACTCAGTATAAACCCTATAAGACAAAATTAAATGATGTTTTAACCTTTAAAAAAGATCTCCATTTCATTATTAAAATACAGTTTCATACAGAAAAAATCATTTTCAATGCAATTGACATTAAGATGTTTGCACTTTAAAAAATTAAAATCCATTCAGTTCAATTTGTGCTGCTCACATAGTCTTGAGTATGGGGTCATCTACTGGAGTGTAGTCAACCTATTGAGGCAACAACCTTAAAGTAAACTGACTAGCCCTCTCCCAGCAGCTATCAAATGCCAATAGCCCCTCAGCTAGGGATGAGACTTTGTACCTCCCTCATGCACACTCGATGCTTGGATTTTTGTCCGGCTTGAGCTTGTGTAGGTCTTGTGCATACTGTCACAACCATTTTGAGTTTATATATGCAACTGCCCTGCTGTGTCCAGAAAACACTGTTTCATTGCACATTACCAGAGTAGAAAATCATCAATCTTATCCAGCTGTGAGCCCTGTGGGCTACAATAATGACCAGCCTGGCAACATATACCCAATAGTGCAATAATGGCATTAATGTCATGGGAGTAATCAACCACTTCCTGTTTGAATCTAAGGCCTGCTTCACATGGTAGAGTTCATACTTGGCACCATTATCAGGGCCAATAACCTGTGGCTGGACAGGCCATAGATACTAGTAGAAAACCTACTATCAGTCTGCCAAATGTCACTTGTGCACATGTGTTGTTGCTAGCCTCTAAGAATTGCCTGCCTTTCAGCAATCATACTGAAATTGTTAAAGCAAGAAAGCAATAATACTGCCTACTATATTGAATCATATCTGTGTGGATCACTAACAAACTGGGTACTGATGAAGACACACAAATCTTCAAGTAGAAAATTCACTTTTCATATACCTTAGCTTTCACTTTTTTCTCTACATATCATCATGTTCAAATTCAGGATGTGATACTCCTTATTATTGTCCACAAGCTCCACTATTTCATGATTAAGTTCAAACATGGTGGTTACTTGTTTATCAACTGTCTGCTCCCTACTTTCTCTACCCCTCCCTATGTTGAACATCAGCTCAGGGACAGAAAAGGTTTTCTCTTTTTTGGTCTGCTCTGTCCCCACCTCTTAGTAAACCACCTGGGCACACAACAAATACACAATGACTCTGCTAAATCAATGCACGAATAAAGGTCTGTCCTTAAGAAAAACAAAGTAAATTAAAATTTAACAAAATTTATAAAATTAATTACATACTGTCATTGTAGTCATTATTTTACACCTGGATCCTTAGAAGTTAGTAATTTTAATGTTCAAATATTTAATGAGAATTTCAAAAACCAAGAACTCTCATGAACAGTTTCTTTTCATAACATTCTTTCTTCCTTTTCTTGTGAATGATTATTCTCATATTAACAGAAGTATCTTATTTTTAAACTGTCATGGCTTTCAAATATGAGCTAGAAATGAATGAAAATAGAAAAAAAGTATGTGGGGGAAATTCATGTCTGCAATGAATAGCATGATTTTTAAAAAATACAATTTCAAAATTTCTTTTTAAAAAAAAAAATTCTGTGAAATTGAGACTGGAGAGATGGTTCAGCAGTTAAGAGCACTGGCTGCTCTTGCAGAGGACTCAGGTTCAAACCCCAGCACCCACATGGCTGCTAACAACTGTCCATAACTCCAGTTTCAGCTGTTCTGACACCTTCTTCTGACCTCTGTGGGCATTTCACAACACAGGTACACTTACATACATGCAGGCATAACACTCATACATGTAAAATAAAAATAAATTTAAAAAATTTTTTAATTCTCTAAAATTGATGGTCTTCTGATATATTCAGGATATCCGGCTTTGAAAATATATTGCCTAGATATTTTATCAACAATATCCTTCTTTTAGTTGATTAACATAACACCATAAATAGCCCACATTTCAAAAGTAACCGGTTACAAAGAGAATCTTGACAGATGTGCTGAAATGTCTATCTCAGCATCTACTTATAAGTGTCAAGAGAGCCTTAGCAAAATAAAATGGGAGTCTGGCATGGCTTGGATAGAAAGTGTCCCCAAAGGCTCATGTGCTGGAAGCTTAGATGCTACTTGATGAGATTTGGGGAAGATGGCTGTATCATGAAAGCTCTGACTTCCTCAGTGGATTAGTCCACCAGCCAATTCATCATTTGATGGTATTATAGGCAATGACAGAAACCAAGAAGGGGACCTAGTTAGAGGAAATAAATCACTCAGGGAATGTCTCTGAAGGGCACACCTTGTCTTTGACCCCTTTCATCTTTCTCTCTCTGTTTCCTGGCTGCCAGGATACGAGCAGCTTTCCTTCACCATGCCTTTCCACCAAAATGCTTCCTCTTTGAGTGGGTATTGTTATTGCCCTCATTTTATAGGCAAATAAACTGAGAGGCAAATACATTAAGTGGCATGTCTAAGGACACACACAGTAGGCTGTTCAGTTTGCAAAGAGAAATTTTGTTAGGCTGGCTCTAAGATCCCATACCTGTGTCTTTGATCTCTCCTCTGTGGATTTTTTTTCAAGAGCATTAATGTGTTCTATCTCCCCAGCTAAAAACCAGATACCCATATTGTCTGCTGTTTCTGCTGTGACCAGACAGTGATTCTCCTATCTCTTGGGTTTCATGCATGCTATTCCCACAGCTGGGGATATTTTCCTATCACAGCCACCAGATTAATGCCTCCTAGCTCTTTTGTCTCAGCTTACAGATGACATTCTTTGCAGAGCCTTTTCTATCATACATCTGAATGATGGCAATACTTCTCTTTATAATACTACTACTTGTTTTTACATAAACTTGCAATTTTTTTAAATGTTTGTCTTCATTTCTAGGATGTAAGGTCTGATTCACCAGTGAGTTTTCAGAGCACAGCAGAGAATTTAAATACCCAGAACATATCTGTGCATGGAACTCAGGAGTGCAAAGATTGACGGCATTAGGAAATCTAACATAATTATTTCCATACAAGAATAGATTCAAATGCACTTCTCCACCTGCTAAGTCTCTGAGAAGACAGTCTTCTCTCTAACAGGTTCATTTCCACCATGATCAGCATTTTTTATAGATCATACCTGCATCAAAAAAGCAATTTGAGAGTCATCACCATAATTAGCTTCTGAATAGTAGAGCCGTTGAAGTAAACATTTGTACTTCAAAAATGATTCCCTTTTTTGAATTTCATTCTCAAGGTTCACACAGTGACGGCAGCGGTACACACGACGGGAAGTGGACGACACAGAAAATGCTACAGAAGGCAAATATAACTGGCAACTGTGACAAAAGTAAATCTTATCATAGAACTTCAGTGGGTCTTGAGGGACCTAAATAGAAAAATAAAATAAAATAGTAAAATTTCAGGCCAAATACTAGACAGAAGCACTGAGGATTAATTAAAAAGTCCTATTTTCTTTTAGCTTCCTATTCTACATAAGATTTAAATTCCAAGCAAGATTCATTTACCTGGCCAAAAAATTAAAAATGTTACTCAGCAACTCCTAGGTATGGTAAGTGACTTAGGAAATAAAGTGACTGGCTCTTAGCACTTGCTTTTTAAAAGACAGTCCCGTCAAATACTGGAATCAAAGAAGGGCAGATATCTACACTCACAAACCCCACTCAAAATTAGATTTTTTTCTATGTGATAAGGGAAGAAAACAAGTCAATTCAAATGGAAGAGGAAGAGGTTAGCATTCATCGCCTTGCGCAGGATTTGATACCTTTACAGATATTTTCTGACTGTCCTCTCATTTGCAATGTTTCCAGTGGGAGATCTGTAGTTATTCTTATTTTTGTCCCCCTGTATAGGATCTGCTTTCTTTCCCTGGTCAGTTTTAGGTTGTTCTATGATCATTTGTTTGAAATTAATTTTTTTTTGAGACAAGGAGCTGGCCTCATGGGTGTTGGAATTAAAGGTGTGTACTACCATGCTTGGCCTGTTTGGAATGATTTGATTATGATTTGTTTTGGTGTAGTTTGCTTTATATTTCACTTGCCTCAATACGTTTATTTGTTTTCATCAAATTTAGAAAAATGTTAGCCATTATTTTTATCTTTTGTCTACATATTATAATTTTTGTTCTGTCAAAAATGTAAGGATAGCTTCCTAAGCAATAATTCTAAAATTAATCACAAAAATTGCTTCTAATTCTTTAGAAGCACTTTCTCAATTTACTAAAAACATTTCAACAGTTATGTAAGAAAAAAATGAGGCACACTTATCTTGGATTGAGAGTACCAGATCCCCCAGAAGCCTAAGCCTATGGAGATGGAAGACAATTTAAGTCCAATACAATCTCCCCTGGAGTTCTTCAGGATATATACATGGATCTGTTCACTAATAATTATGACTTTGTGGTGAGTATTAAAATGAAGATAGATAAGGTACATGCAAAAATCTCAGAAATAAAAAATTAACTCACTATGAGGCCTCATGAAGAAGAAGACTTGAGAGTTTGGTCTTTAAAGAATAGGATGGAGGCTAGAGAGATGGCTCAGTGGTTAAGAACACTGACTGCTCTTGCAGAGGACCCAGGTTTGATTCCCAGCACCCACATGGTAGCTAACAACTGTCCATAACTCCAGTTCCAGGGGATCTGACACCATCTTCTGACCTCCACACACATTGCACAACACAGGTGCACTTACATACATGTAGGCACTACACTCATACACATAAAATAAAAATAATAAATAAAATATTCTAAAATGAATAGGAGTTGGCTGTGTGAAAGAGAACACAGATTCCAGGTAGAAATAGTTTGTACAAGAGCAGGAGGTGTGAGAGATCACAGTGCATCCAACACTACTGTGCTGGATAGCTTTGGTTGTCAACTTGACACACCTGGATAGAGGGAACCTCAATCGGGGAATTTCCTTGATTGGACTGGCCTGTGGCCATGTCTGTGGGGTATTTTCTTGATTGTTGAGTGATGTGGGAGGGTACAGCCCACTGTGGGTGGTGCCACGCCAGGCAGGTTGTTCTGTTTTCTATAAGAAAGCAAGCTGAGCATGGGGCAGGGGAGCAAGCCAGTAAGCAGCGTTCCTCGATGGCCTGAGCTCCAGCTCCTGCCTCCAGGTTCCTGGGCTCCCTTAGTGTTGAAGTATGTGACCGGGGAGATGTAAGCCAAATAAACCCTTTGCTCCCCAAGTTAGTATTGGTCAGAATGTTTTGTCACAGCAATTGAAAGCAAACTAGAACAACCACCAACACCATGCAACTCAACTGGAAAGTCAATTCAGTTATTGGGAAAGAGTCGTATTTGGAAACATAGACATAGAAGAGGTAAATGGGTAAGTTTAGTTTATCCACACAATAATTCAGATCTACTTATATTCAGAGTAAAGCATTAGAGCAAATTTCAGTATCTTTCAATTCACTATGTACCATCTTGGGATTTCTATAGGAAATACAGGAGCCAAAGTAGAAGAGTACCTTAAGGAATCTTGCAACCTCAGGATTAAACAGAGGTGTTTTGATATAGTGAAAAAAGAGTGTTGCAATTCTTTTTCTGAGTCCTTCAAGGTTATGAGGTTTGACTCCCCTCATCATGAGGTCAACTTCTCTGTCAATCAATTCTAGGATTTCCTGGGTCAGTTTACATTCATGTTCCTATAAAAAACACAATATTAAGGGCACATGTCTAAAATCACTGTTTATTTTCAAAATTACCACCCAAACAAATTGGAATACACATTCCAAAAGAAATTACAAAAGATGACAGGAGTAAAATTTAGTATAACCAATTTGGGGAAAACTTAGTCAAGTTGATAATGCATAACTTATAACTCAGCAACTCTGTACTCAGGTGCTTTAGAGCCAAAGTGCTTGTAGAGCTATTGTTCACAGTAGACACAAATTAGAAAGAAACGAATATCCATAAACAATTAGATTATGTAAATAAATTATAACTTTTCAAATAATGGAATATTATCTAATTTTTGGAAATTATTGAACTATATGATAGTTGTATCCAATAACATACTTAAATCTTACAAAGAAATTTTAAACAAAATCAGCAAGATACAAAATAGTACATACACTATAATTTCACTAAATAAATTAGAAATTAAAAACACTAAGCCAAATTATCTATAGACTTGTCCAGGGGTAGTAAAACTATGAAGAAGAATCACAGAAATGACAACCATGAAAGTTATTGGTCGTTGGTGGCTACTTAGAGGAGACAAGAAGAGATCTAAGCTAAGGAAGGAGAGAGGAACAAAGACAGTGTTGGAATGACCTATTCAATGTTGCTGAACTATTTATGTATTTTCTGCATGTCTATTACAGTTTATAATACTTTTTAATAAAGTACTAAAAAAGAAAACTTCAGGTAAGAGTCAAGGGATTAGAACTGTATTTTTAAGTGATAAAACAGAAGTAACTTCAGCCAATTGTCTGAGGGAAAACTGGATGATATACAGTTTGAATGGAGGAGACAGAGGGTAAAGTGAGTGAGTGTAAAATAACATTCTTCTGTACTTCTGAGTATATACTTGGTAATGCTAATAAAGACAGGAGCCTAAATCAGTGGTCCTTCATTCTGGTGGCATTTCAGAAGGACCTTGGAGAAATCTGAAGAGATTTTCATTACTATTGCTCTCACACTTAAGGATCTAATTTAACTTTTCTGAAATTCTCATATATTGAGATATTCATGATCTTTCCTCTCTCCTTTCTGTATTTTCTCTCTCTCTCCCTCTCTCTCTCTCTCTCTCTCAAAAACACTAAGTGATTCTAATGTGTACTCAGTTTTAAAAATCACTACTCTATAGTAATTGTAATAAAACATATTTTATTTATTGAGAGCCCCTATTTATAAGGCAATGATCATATCTTTAAAAGGACAAATATACATAAGCATCTAAAAATGATTAACCTTACAATGATGAAACTTATTTTCAGAAATATTAAATAGCTTTTTTAAGGTTGTGTCATCAGTGAATAGAGTCAGAATTTGAGTTATTTTTATACTCTGACCTTCCTTCAAAATGTTAACTTACATAGAAATATTTTAGGTTAAACAAATTCATACACGTGAGTTACCTTCTGTGTTCATCCTTGGCCCTTTTGGTTAACTGGGTACCAGTTCTGATTATCTCAGGCAGGAGGATTTCTACTATATTCTCTATTTGCATTATCTTTTTTGTCAATCTGGCCTTTATATGGCCCTCTGTAAATCCTCATGTTTATTTCCTAGCTCTACAATTTCGCTTCTCCCTTTTCTATGTAACCAGGTTTCTATCAAGGCTGTTCACAATGCAATCATCTTTGAAAAGGTAGTCCAGAGCAAAAGCAGTATCTCTGCTCTTTAGACAGAAATGCACAACACCTGTGCAAACTTGTCTCCAACCAAGAACTTGTCTCCAAATAAGAACTCAACTCTTCAATATGTCATAAGAGCTGTCTGTGTCTTGATTCTGTTTCTTCGGGACAGTTCTTTGTAATTAGGGGCAAAGAACCCACATATGGAACCCAAGAGTTATGCTTGTAAAATTCTCAGACTTATAATCATGTGGCTCACTTAGATGAAATTAAATATGGCCAATATTTTTTCAGTTGTTATTTATAGTGAATCATTGATTATTATTGAGATAGCTATACCTACTTGTTTTGACATGTGGGTCATACTAACGACCAAAACTGTCTGGTTTTCATTGTTGGATCCATTAGTTAATACGGGTGAGGGCTCAGAAACAACTGATATGTCTATGTCATAAACTGAGGTCAGGTACTGTTACGCATCTTATTTTCAAAAGCTCTAAAGCTGACCCTCCTGGAACAGGGACCTCTGGCTGACTAGATTTACCAGAAGGGCAGACAGGGGGGAATGGATGAGGGTGCTGACAACACAGTGGACAGTGACAGGGATGGCAGAGTATGGAGCCTCTAGTGGGAGAGGAAGGCTGTCTATCTGACGAGTTTGTAATCATGCTCAGATGCCAAGGAGCTCAGAAGGTGGGCGACTGTGACCAGTGATAATCACGTATATAGAGATTAGAAATACATGTGAAAATGCCTCAGTGTCAATTGCCTTGGAATGAATTCTTCTGTATGAAAAAAAAAA